GAGCAAAATGCATCAGCTGGGCTGTGCTTTTCTTTTCCCCATGAAAAACTATACAGTTTGCTTCAACAGACCTTGTAGAATCAAAACACGGCGTAATAACATTGGGAGCACATTTACAAGAAACACCTCTCCTAGGGACAGAATAAAAAACAAAAACAAAAAAAACAAGCCCAAGTCCAAAACACGAGACATGGTCATGGTCCGGGCCGCAGCTAATGTGTTCCACTAAGAGAGAAAAAACGTCCATAGATGAATTGTAGTAATGACCAAGAGTACCGTATATACAGCAGATGTACACATAAAAGTAACACTCAGACATTTGCAGTTAGTAGATAGTACACTCACATTATCACATTATTTTGATGTGTTTCGTAACAACCATGTTGCGCAGCATGAGAGGGAAAAAAAACATTTTATCATGCACACATATATAGTATATATATATTTTTTTTAGCTGTGACTTATTACTTAGACTAGGTAGTTCAGGCTGTCAACTGTCTCAACAGTTGGTTATTACTTGATGGCCTTGATGGTGGCATCTGGACTGCACGACTGTGTTTTGGCATTTGAATATGCTCTTTCTCTGGTTGCTTGTTGTTATTGTTGCTAGGGTGCCTGTCGGTCACGAGTATGAGAAAATTGCAGAGTTTGTGGTGCACAGAAGCTTATTGCAAAGGGCAAGTATCTGACTTGGTGAATTGTTTTTGACATTGGTGGCGTGTAGGCTTCCGGGTCGTTAACCGATATGCGGGTACTTGATTTCTGCGTGCAATAAAAATTAAGTCTCGATTAATCTTGCATTTTTTTTGCTACGAGATACTATGTGCAGCGCATTTTTAATTTTCTTTGCTATGGCAATATGCTTGGAACTTGTGGTTCAAGTGATAGAAGGTGATGTCAGTATGCTTGGAACTTGTGGTTCAAGTGATAGAAGGTGATGTCAGTGGCGTACGCATTAGATTGTAACCGACGCTTGTACAACATCCACTACAGCTACGCGAGTAAATACTAGTATATTTACAGTTTATATAACAGTTGTCCTCGATGAGCTGAAGTCAAGTTCTTCACAGGCTAAAGTCATGACACACGGGTGACAAAACACAGAAACAGCAATGTTGCCTTCCTCGTTTGCAACGGAGGTCTACGTGTTCCTGGACTGATCTTGGCTTAGCGAGGATGAGCTTTGCTTCCTGTGCTCTTGAGAAGGCAAGCTCTGACGAGCCACTCGCATCGCACTGCACAACTGCTCGAATCTAACCAGACACACTAGATTCATGCACTAGCGCTATAGATCTATCAAAAAAGACAAGGCAGCTTGTCACGCACGAACTAACCTTTTCTGTGGCTAGCTTGACAAGTTTATAGTAACTAACAGTTAACATAGATGTAAAACGAGAACCAACAAGACACACTCGATGCAGCACGGTGAGTACCTGACAAACAACTGTGCCATGTTTTAATACGGGTGGGACAAAACGGATTGCGTGCTGTTGAAGGACATTATGCTGAAGCCACTGGTTCGCTTGTGCTCTGGTCGCAGTGATGAATGGTCTGCATGGGCATTTTGTTAGTGCCTGATTTGAAGACAACGCTTGAATCTCTTGCATCAGCACTAAAAGGATTTGCGTAGTTACTGTAATGAACATCTGCATGTACAAATGCAGTTTTACATGCTATGTGCAATGAGTTGAGCTAGTAAAGTTGTTGCAAGTGTTGCGTGAAATGCATTGTGTAAATCTAATGTGTGTTTGAGAGCACAAGCAGGTCCTATGGCAGCATATCTTTTTTCTGGGGATTTATTATATTTTCATATCACACAAGGTTTTAGAAAGATCAATGGCACACAGAACTTGACAGACTTGCCTACGTGAGTTACATGACACTGTGTGACTGACGCCTATGGTAGCTGGGTTGACTGCAATGAATGTTAGGAGGGCTGATCACTGCAAGAAAGTATGCTTTGATTAAAATGAACTGCGAATTGTGCTTGGTGAAACATATGGTGCACCTTTACCAAACATCGTTAGATTCCAAAGGTATCAGTTGTGGTATTGCAGCGTAAACAATAGTTGTTTTCAATCCTCTTGCTTTGTATGTACACTTCTTTTTCTTGCTCCTTTTCAAGACTGTACCAGTGCTGTGATGCCTGGAAGCATTACACGATTGTAAAATTGTGCGATGGGCTTGACTTCTGTTTCCTAAGAGGCAAATCGATTGAAAAAGAAAGGAAAATGCTGGGTTTTAATCAGGCATGATGGGCTTCCTGTCAAGTAGAAGTGTCTAAAATCATTGCTGGCAACTTTTTAATTGTTGTTGACATTGTCCCGTCATGACATATGTGATTATGATGCTGACTTGCTCGGGGTGTCTGGGATTTCTTTGTTTTGTTGTTTCTAGACATACTGTGTTCAACTTTTTGAAACCACACCTTACATCCTGAATATGATGCCCTGGATGTTATATCACAATTTGAGGACGCTGTCTGATTGCATCATATGACCGATTATCCCATCGTGTCAGTTCTGATTGGCCAAAGGCGCTGCTTCGTCCTTCCTGATTGGCTCGACGTGTCACCGTTGTGGAATTTGACAAAATATGGTGGCATTTCGCTGATGTTTGTCATGCCACCTCAGCCTTGTCAAACAGATAAAGCTTTGATACGACAACAGATGACCCGCCGAGAAGTCCTCTGAGTTATGACAAATGTGTATCCCAGGAGTCCATAAACAGCAATGAATGTCGAAAGAGTGACCATAAAGGCCAAATTCGGTGACTTTGCCTCTTTGTAATGTTGTCAGCTTCTTACTGATGTTCTGCGATTGAGTGTTCTTGTTCACATTAATCAAGTCGTGAAATCCGTTTACGTAGCGAAAGGAATCTGTTTTGGCTAGGTGCTGACGAGTTAGGCCTAACCCACGTTGGCAAGTCTGCGACAGCTTTTGGCATGCAGTTGCTGGGGCTAACAGATGAAGATAACGCAACGCCATGAACGAACGTGTTACGCCAACGAAACAAATCAACACAGACTGGGCGGGGCAAACGGCCGGCCATATCTACCGACGATTCCGTCTACAATACGCCATCTTCTAGCACCCGAAAGCTTGCGCGCGGTAGAAGCGGTTATTCTAGGCGAGATTGAAAGACTTGTGGGTCGTGTGTACGTGTCCTCTCCAGGAGACGAGGGGAGCGGTCTTCCCGCAGCTCGCTCCGGAGCAGTGCCACTGAGACACGGGACTGCGATGGCTCCGGGCCGGATCGGAGCAGTCGGTACAAGTTCGAGGCGCGGTGCCACGAGAACCGGGGTTTTTGATCCGGGCCCGAGAGCCTGCAGCGCCCGTTCGATGATTACATGTTCACAATCACACCGCTAGTATACCTACACAGCTTTGGTCTACGAAACACTACTACAGTAACTAGGCGGCAGGGAGCGCAATCTGGGCTCACTTTCGTGCGCTGCCTGATGTGACGTGTTCGTCATACCTTGCTAGTTCTTGCTGTGGCATCACGTGGAAGCGCGTGAGAAACTAATGATTAGAACTCCGGCAGGACTGATAGTTGGGCTTGTCTGTGTCTTTTCTCTTCGTCCCGTGAATTTGTGCGCTGTTACTGCCCATAATCAGAACTCCGCCAAAGCTTTAGCGCGAAAGTTGCTGGTGTGAGAGCCTGCAATGACTAACTACATTTAAATATGCAAAAAAAAAGGCAGGTAGGGGAAATGTGTCACATAATGGGCTCCTGGACGTCGCACGTACAGGCGCGCTCAATATGACTTTCAACACGGGAGCGCGTCGCCTCAAAGGTTGCGCATGACTTCAACTTGTTTTTCTTTTCAACAACTGAACATTATGTTCTTAGTTGGGTTCATATACCCAAGTGAGAAGAACGTGTTTTATGGGAGTAAGAGCTCGTAGAAGCCATGCACTATCCCAGTGAACTTGTGAGGCCACACGCTCCCACGTTGCAAGCCATGTCGAGTTTGACTGACAAAACAAAAAGCGAATGCTCATAGTGTAATTTGTGCTGGATTTATCGCATCACGCATAGCGGGCAACCAGTTCGATAGCCTCAGCAGGTCTGGAAGCCGTTTTATCGCGTACATGCGTTTCTCACTGCTGTCCACGTGGATCGGATAGTGTTCCCAGATCGCGCCACGTCGCCGTGTTCATCTGTAACCGAGCCGCTGTTATATGTACAGACTGTGCTGGGAGTTGTGCTTTTTTTCACGTGTCGTGACCACGTACTGTACAGTGTAGGCCGTCACATCGCCTCGTCCTGTTCCGACGAGGCTCCACGAGTGTGCTGGTGCAAGAACAAACATCGAACAGACACGCCCTATAGCACGCGCGCGATTCATACTAATAAAAAACACACTCGCTCACGAGTAGGCATACAAGGCCTACAAGGCAAGTAGGCATACAAGGCCTACAAGGCCTTGTATGCAAGGCCTACAAGGCAAGTAGGCATACTAGGCCTATTTACAGACACTCACGCTTAACAAGCATGCGGTGATAGATAACTAACGCACAAGAACACACCGGTCGGTGCACTCCCGTCGTGCAGAGGACGCTTTACCGTTAAGGGGCACGCGACGCCGTTTGAAACGTCACGTGGACTTGACAAAGACGCTACTATAGCAGTCGGATCGTGATGTGCGGGGGGGAACGAGTATTCTGTGCGCGCGGACGAAACGGAAACAAAGAGCGTACGTGCTACAGACGCGGCTGTTTTTTTTTTTTTATCACAGATACCTCCTGGATCTCTCCGTAAAGTGACTATGAGTTGCCTGTTGCCAACAACGTACAACACGGGGCGCAACAGCGCAAGGCTACTGTAGTACTGCGCTATAAGCTCAGTTTTGAGGCTTCGCGTTCTACTGTACACCGGTGGACCACCTGCTGCTACTGCTTTCGACCGTATGGTGAGACTTAAATATATATATCACGTTAGCGGTCAGTGAATAACCGAAATGGCCAGCTTGTATGACTTTTTTCTCTAATGGATTTTGTGAAACAGGTACAACTTCTAATGAGGAATGACGAGGTTTGCCGCTCAAGCAATGCCATTGGGATCAATCAAGTGGTGATCCTGGGATGTCATTACGATGGCTCCTGGCACGAGCTGAATTCGTCACTGAGAGGCCCGGCCTGGAAGCAAACGTAGCCTGCATCGCCCGTACCCATAGAGCCCTTGATGAATAACCTTTTCTCTCGCTCACCCCCCGTGATCTAAAGCTCTATTTCAATAAGGCATCATAAAGCTTCAGGTACGGCGGCACCTTTTTGGAAACGAGACAAAACGAAAACCGTGCTTCGTATGCTGTCGGCACTGAAGATAACGATCGCAATTCGAACGGAGTTTGGGCATTTAAGAGACCGCTTGTTGACGGTGCTTTCTGTGAACTGTCTGGGGATTGTTTCTGACCTGAGTTATATGCGTGGTTCTTCTGAGTGGAGCTGAAGGCGTCCACCGGTACAGTGTAGACAAGCCGCTGCTAAGTATCCTTGAAAAGCGGTTAGTACAAAATGGCTGCCAGGCTATAAGCATGTCTCTAAAGGCAAAGTTTCGATACCTTCGCTCAAAAAGTAGCGATGCTGTGATGTACTATGGAGGCTACGTATACTGCTGAACGAAACAACGCAGTTGGCTGAGCTCGTGCAGGAAATAAACACGCTCGCTTCAGGTATTAAAGTAATAAAAAAACAGCACTTGTCTAAAAATCGACGTCCTTGTTGCGGACTAGCTCTGTGTTAGTTCCAAGCATATTCCCCGTGCAGGCTGTGAGAGTTATTAAGTCAGGAATTTAGTTCCAGACGTACGTATTTGGCCTTTGTGACCACAGAGCGAATGCGTACATTTCGTGATGCTCGGCTTTTCGCCGGATTCGGCCGTTTATCGAATCTGGATGCAGTATGATGCCGTTTTTGCCACCATTGTCGCCAACGTAGGTTTTTTTAAACTTTACTGTTCAGGGAATAAGTAGTAACAGGAAAAAGAAAATCCTTGAGAACGAGCAGAGGAGGAGTTTTTATAGATGCGGAACTTTAATAATTAAACTGAAGGGTCACTCCCTTAATTGTGCTCAGTAATCCTCTCAGGAAAGATTAATGTATTGACGCAAAAGGTATGAGAGATGACGTATAGGTGGTGGGCACTGACGTCACTGAAACCGCCATTGTTGGTGCAGCGCATGACACACAGCAAGGTTTGTAACGTCGCTGTGTCAGTATGATCATAACATCATTTGCAAGTTTCATTGTTATTGACGCAGAGTGACCAATAAAATTCTGGTCGCATCGTTATCATATCGAAGTACGTTAACGCGATGTGATTGTACGTCCTTTACATCATCATGACCACCATGTTGGTGAACAAGTACGTCATGAAGCTGCGACCATGACTTTACGTGCAACCTATGGATAAAGTTGAAAAGGGGGGGGGGGGGGTTATGTGCTTTTAAATTGAGAAGGAGCGGTTGGAATGAAGCGCTTGTTAGAATCTCGGAAAAACGCGTCGCACCGAAAGAAAATGTCGTGACCGAGGACGCCGTCATGCACGATGACACGGTTCGACACCTATGTAGAAATAATGATAGTGTCTGTAGCACCTTGCGTCAAGTTCTTCAGGCACCACACCCGCTGCAACATAATCTCATTTCACAACAGATCAGCAGAGCATGCGCAGAACCACCCAACATCACGCGAGCATTGCAACATCAACGTCAACACGTGCGCATCAACGCAGCGATTCGTCGCACATCTGTCATCAGAGCGTTAAGCGTACTCATAGGCAGTCTGTCGTCGTAGCACCGGGCCAGACTCCGTAACAGATTGTATGTACCTATATCACACACTTCAAGCATACACACTCAGACACTCGGAATAGACCACCCTGATTCATTTCTCGTCTGTCTTCTCGTCCTGGATATTTAATACGGCAGGCGTCATTACCAGCCGAAATACAATCGCAAAGTTACGGAGACAAAATGATGTCTAAACAAAGCTGTTCCCTGCTTGCGCTGCACAGTACAGTACATTAACTTCTGTACTTGCTCGATATTGCGGCAGTTGGTGTTCTCGCGCTCAAAAGCACGTACAACCATGGACAAACTAAACGATAACATCAATTTAGCAGGGTGGAACGGCTTCCGTTAGCGGTAATTTGAAGGCGCAATTTGAGGCAAAGCGAAATCATGCCTATGTTAAACGTACACCTTGTCCGTGTTTCAGTCTTCCGTGACTGTACCAACTATCCTAAACAGAACCGGCCATTCACCTTACGTTCAGACATGAACATCGAACGACATCGATGTGCGGGACTTTTACACGCGGCTGCAGTTCTTGGTCGACCCGATCTGCCGGTCGGATCATCGAGTCTGCACACATTTCTCACAAACTTCAGCATCAGCGTCCAATGTCTTGAGGGGGTTGGGAGTGACACAGTTCGTGCATTCCAGACGCCACCTGTTCCCTCCTCGTCTTCGCTTCTGCTTCGAGCGTAACAGAGGGAGAGAGAGAGAGAGTTTCGTGCCCTGCCGCTGTCTGCCTTTCGTTCCGCGAGAGGAGCCGTTCAGACGCTATATTGCTTTGTGGTAGTCGCGGTACGGCCATGCTCACATCGAAGCGATTGGTATGTACACGAGGCTAAGCTATTTTACGCGGGAGCGGAAGGGAGACATACCGCGGGCTACACGCAGTCGCTGCTCTGTGTACCGGCAGTGGCTGCCTCTACACATCTTGGAGCTCACAGATTAATTTGTACGTGTTAAAACAAAAGCCTCGTATGTTTCATTAGCAAAAAAAAAAGGAAAAAAAAAAAGAAAACGAACTGGCGGCTGGCGTTGCATTTTCGGAACTCTCGTCGGCGTGAACGAGAATGGTACCAGTCACGTGACGTCATGTGAAGACATTTTCAGTGACTGCATGTACTGACGTCATACGGTGATGCTGTGCAATCAACGGATACCATTAAGGTAACGTAACGCGTCTTTTAAGAACATACGCTTTCGCATGAGATTGATCGCATTAACTCAATGCTTACAAATGTAGAGTCTTTAGATAACGAAGCCCTATGCTGGGTGATTTAGAAAGTGACAGCAACAAAGAAAAAAAAAACACCCACACCCACTCAAAGCTCGTGCTTTTGCACACAGGGGTCGCGGTATGGTCTTGTGGCCGTGGGACCTTGTTTTACGTATTCGATTCGCGTACGCTTCTTTTCCTAGCTTGAATCTCTTGCTGCGAGCATCGTTGGAAACGGCGTCAGTTTTACAGTATAGAGGCAGCGACTGCAGCGAATTTCACTCGGGGAAGAAAAGGCTTTGAAAGGAGGTCAATGATGCCACAACCACTGTTGATATATTTAAGAACACTTCTTTAAAAAGTCTGCCTACGCCGCAGCTTATCGGTTCTCAGCGCTGTAGAGCGGTGGGAACTGAGAAGCCGGTGTGCTGAAAACGAAAGTTTGTCGGCTTTTTTTTTAATACAGATGAGCTATGGCGTGACCGATTACTAAATAACACAGTTATTTACGTCTATCAGGCTGTTTATCCTTCTTTTTTTTTAATATCCCGGTCAACGACATCGTTATACCGCGGTATAATTATTGACAGACCGCCGTAATGTCGCCGCTTGTCAGGTTTCCGAAATAAACAATATGTTTTTCATTTTTCTTTCAACGAATATCGTTCTCGCCTTCACAGATGCACCTCGTCTCGGCGACATGTCTGCAAGTGTCAGCGCCTCAGAAATTCGGCAACGCTTTGAGACATTTCATCAAACTATTTCGAACTTGCAATGGTTCCTCTGTTTGTTGGTAATGGCCTTAAAAAAGAAAAAGAAGAAGACCAGGCTGCTATTACTCTTTAAACCCGCCTCTCAAAGCACCGCTACTCACTCCGTATTTGAAAAAAAAATGAGGTTATTTTACTCTTTGCTCTCTAGAGCTTACACATTTGTGAAGATCATTTCGGTGTGCTCCAGTGTCGTCTAAAGTACGTGGGATAACCCACTGGCCTGGATGTACCTCATGCTCAGATTGGTTTGGGGTTTTCTCGCATTTTGCGAGGTTTCGCGAACGAAGCACGAACTCGTCGAAGGATGACTTGGCAACTACGCAAAACCTCGGCGACATTGCGTAGTTCAGATAAGTAGAATACGGTACGTTTAGCCTGACCGCAACTACTCGACCTAATGAGAAACGTTCTGACAACTCGCACCTGCCTTTCGGAGCTCGCGTTGGGTTGTTAGAGTAAAGATGAACGTATCATCAATGTCTAACTGGAGAGAGTGTAATGTAGCGTTTGGAAGGACAGGCGTGTTCGTTGCCATACAACTTCCTATCGACATCGCCTCTTTTGTTTACTATTAAACAACACACAGGAATTATGTGCTAAACGTACATCCCCAAAGTACTAGTACGTAACTTGAGTTTTTTCATCGTTTTTTTTGGATGTGTATGCATTTTGCATTGCTATAATTACGTCGTAATAACCATCTCGAGTATCCTTCAGTCGCTCAAAAAACCGGCAAGTTGATTCAATACTACGCATGCTCCAGCTGACCAATTTCGTACAGAGGGAGTGTGAAAAAGTGCGGGTAGTTTTGAATCCGGAACGCGGACTCGCAGTTCACTTGTAGCCTTGTCGAAGGCTGTTAGAATACATTGCTTTCTCAGCCAGTCAGATTGTTGGAAGCGGATAAAGATAGTGATTTAGACAACAACGAGAAGTCGAGTGTCCTTGAGCAAGATTTTGGAGTCGATAGCCCGGCACCTCGCATGCCCCGCCGTGGTCGTCTAATGGCTAAGGTACTCGCCTGCTGACCCGCAGATCGCGTGATAGAATACCGGCTGCGGCGGCTGCATTTTCGATGGAGGCGTAAATGCTGTAGGCCTGTGTGCTCCGATTTAGGTGCACGTTAAAGAACCAACCCCAGGTGGTCGAAATTTCCGGAGCCCTCAACTACAGTGTCTATTTAATCATATAATGGCTTTGGGGTGTTAAACCCCACATATCAATCAATCAAGCCGGCACCTCGCAACTTCAGAAAGCCTGCAAGAAATGCAACAGCTTCGCTCTAGGCGTTAATCAGAAACGGAGCGGCCGTCTGCCATGCGCACAATTGCGCACAGTGGCGCCGAAGTTTCGTCGACTCTTTCTCGCGAATGGCTGATGAGATTCTCAGCCTTAGCTTCACTACACGAAATTGGTGAAACGCGGAGTTTGCGTAGCTGATGTGCGGGGGGGGGGGGGGGGGGGGGTAGACCTTTGTTCGCCAGCCGCAGCCTATCACCTCGCAGACGAGGAATCAGAAGGAAAAAAATAATATATGAAAAGATGGTGAAAGACCGTAATCAAACTCAACGAACACGGCACATAGCCGCGGCCCTGTGCTATCCTTGCTTTGCGGCTTCGGTCGTTGCGCCTTCTTCGGCTTGCCTCCGTGATGGGTGGTCGTCGTTTCTGGCGGACCGCGGGGGTCGCGTCTTGGCGGGACGTCGTGCTGTGGCCACATGCGTGCGTCTCTCGTCGTCGCCGACGGTGTTCCCGTTGACGTCCGCGGTTCCTCCAGTCCTGCTCGTCCGTCTCCTTCCGTTCGTGTTCGTCTCGGCGGCGCCTCGACGTCTCCGCCCACGTCTTCGCAGTACCCGTCCGCTGCAAACGGTCACAGCGACACAGATTACTCGGAGCACGGATCCTCTCGGATTTTCCGTCTACAGCGCGGCCTTTCAAAAATGGTCACAACTACACTGTTTTTTTAAAGCCGTATAGAAAGGAGACGGTTGCGTAACACTCGACCAAACACGCTGCTTTGCAGAGGCTTACTTGGTGGGCTTTGCCTAGATACAAACGTGTCTAACAGACGAAGCACGCTTTACAGAAGGACGAAGAAAAAAAAAGTTCTTTGTTAAGTCGAGCGTGTCCTCTGGGCTAGAGAATAGTTTACGTGAGGGAGAGGAGAGAGAGAGAAAATAAAGAAAAAAAGATTATGGAGGGAGGGTAAGTGGTGATGCTTGCACAATGAACTCTTTAAGGTAGCCTTTAAACGGATTATGAAGTTAGGAGTGCACGCTGCTCTTAGCACGATAGTTATCAAAACATCTATCTATCTATCTATCTATCTATCTATCTATCTATCTATCTATCTATCTATCTATCTATCTATCTATCTATCTATCTATCTATCTATCTATCTATCTATCTATCTATCTATCTATCTATCTATCTATCTATCTATCTATCTATCTATCTATCTATCTATCTATCTATCTATCTATCTATCTATCTATCTATCTATCTATCTATCTATCTATCTATCTATCTATCTATCTATCTATCTATCTATCTATCTATCTATCTATCTATCTATCTATCTATCTATCTATCTATCTATCTATCTATCTATCTATCTATCTATCTATCTATCTATCTATCTATCTATCTATCTATCTATCTATCTATCTATCTATCTATCTATCTATCTATCTATCTATCTATCTATCTATCTATCTATCTATCTATCTATCTATCTATCTATCTATTCTATCTATCTATCTAATATGGTTTGATATATGACGTGCTGGTCAAGACATGAAAACTGTCACAATCCCGTCGCGTACGTCGTCAAACACTTTCCGCCAGACTATGGCACATACCCACGGGCGTGTATGTGCCTCTGGTATGCGGGTATGTGCCACAGGTGATAGATACTAGTATCTAATGTTGTGTTTGGCGGGCCACCCTTTTGCCGTGGCTGACAAAACGGAAGAAAGACAGCCGCCTCCTTTGTGAAGATAAGGAGCAGCGCCAAGACGCCCGGCTGTTTCCGTGTGCTGGGCGCTGCGTGGCCGAAATTACTCTACGGAGCACCGCTGACCTTCGGCTCCGCGCAGAGATGCGACACGTGGCGTCTTCGTGCCCCGTTAAAAGCCACAATGCCGAGCTTCCGCCGATTACGGACGTCGGACCATCACGCTGTGCGTCTCTGACTGATGTGCCGCCGACGCTCAAATCAGCACCAGATGTCCACGCCTGGCTCCTCGGAGGCGCCTAGACTGCGACTGTCGTTCGACAAAGCATGTGTGGTCGGCCCGAGCGGCGAGATGACGGACTCGTTACATCCCGCTCAAGCAAGATTCGCCGAAGGAGGCAGCGTCGCCGAGACCATACACGTGTCTGATTTGTGTATGTGTGTTTGTTGGGGACGTTGCCGGCATAATGACACTCGTGTGTGCTGCGGGACATGTTATTGGACTGTTCCGTATGGACCTATTCCCCGATCTAGGGATCTGGGGAGATGAAACTGTATTTAATCAGCCCTCGCGGGCTGCTTAGGTGGTTCACGGAGCTTGTTCAATACCCGCCACGGTGGTCTAGTGGCTAAGGTACTCGGCTGCTGACCCGCAGGTCGCGGGATCGAATCCCGGTTGTGGCGGCTGCATTTCCGATGGAGGCGGAAATGTTGTAGGCCCGTGTGCTCAGATTTGGGTGCACGTTAAAGAACCCCAGGTGGTCAAAATTTCCGGAGCCCTCCACTACGGCGTCTCTCATAATCGTATGGTGGTTTTGGGACGTTAAACCCCACAAATCGATCAATCAATCAATCGAGCTTGTTCAGTAAACAGCCTTCTTCAATGTAGAGCTTCGGGCCAGAGAGCCCGTGCCATGTAAATAATGTGAATAAACCCTCTCTACGAAGTTCAACCTCCTTCTGCCTCGACATCTTGATCCCGAATCTCCGGTGCCGCAAACGCCGGTCGCAACGCTACCCACGGACGACGAGAACTCGCATAGGCAATTTTAACGCGCGATCGTTAAGAAATACCCGACATCGGTAGCGTCAACCCGACGAATGCAAAGAATAAATGTCAGGGTTCCAGCTGTAATCGAACCCAAGCATTCTGAGTAGCAATGAAGCATTGTACCAAAGTGCTACGCATGCTCTCGGAAGTGCTTTTTCAAATAGACGCTAATCTTCGTGAAACGTCAATAGTGGTTGCAGTGCTGCCTACCCAATTTTATATAGATTACATATTTACCGCTTTGACACATTCGTCACGTCGGGTTTACGTCAATTGTGGTTAATTGCCATGCGCTGAAGTTGATTTATGTAGCAGTGCCCAGGGCCAGCATCCTCGTGAGCACCAGCTATTCATATCAGCATCTGGTGTTGCTAATACGCATGTTCCAGTTGGCATTGTTGCGCAAGTGCAAACGACTGGTTACTTAAACATCTGCAACTCTTCAACATATGTCCGTGCACGCAACATTTGTACATATATTTAGCGTTATTTCACGACGTGTCGCTCAATAAAAAAGAAACGCAACACGGTCACCTTCCTCCCGCATGCTTCGCATAACCTGGATTCGCAGGTACGTGGGATCTGCCGAACTTTTTTTTTTCTTCGTAAGCCATATCACACCGTACTTATTGGCAAATTATACAGCATATGAGACCAGCTGGCCGTCTGGACACATGGCGTGAGCGGCCGTAGTTGGTTGAACGCATCCCACCTGTTGTATATTTATCGAACTTCACTTCATCATCTGCGGCATTTTCGACCGACTATGATATACTTAAGTAATGTATCGAAGCAAATACGCATATGCACTGGGCATGCCGAATGTCTAATGCGTAGCTGTCGCAAATGTCAGCCATACGTGTACTGTTGTGTGAAAGGCCAGGTACACGAAAAATGCACCAGGGGCCAGAGAAACGAGCGATACTTGGATGCGAATAAGATGCGGTTTCGACAACGCAGTAAAATGCGACGGGGATGATGAATATAAGGAAAGAACCCCTTCGTTGTCTGGACGATGACATGAAGCTATCCAGAACTACAGCAACATTCAAGTGCAAACGCATCTACTGTTGTTGCGACTAGTTAAAACTACCATGAATTATACATGATCATAAAGCCGGCGGCAGAGACAGAGGCCCACTAAAGGGCGAAAGTACCGGCTACCTATTCTTGATAACGTTGGAAGCTTCGTTCCTCGTATGACGTGGCGCAGTACCTAGCAGTGTTAACTCTCCTAAAGTGCTGTCACTACGACGAACGGGTCTGCCGTGCGCCTTAGTGGAGGTCGCTTCCACTTGATTTAATTCATCGTACGTCGTGTGGAGGGTTCACCAGGCGAGCTGGTAACATTTGCTCAAGACTCACGCACATGACACTCCATCCGAACTTTCTTTGATAAGTTTGCATCAATGGTGTCAAAGCAAAAAAAAAAGGGGGTGTATGAATATTATTGTGGGAAAGTCAGTCCGAGGTAGTTGTGTGTAGGTTAAGTGTAAGTATAGATTCGATATAGTTTAAGTGTAAACCGGAAGTTGGTCAACTATAGCCCTAAAGTCCAGCAAGAGGCAGCTGAGACAGAAATAGAGAATAGGAAGTGAAATAAAGATTGAAGTTGATCACCCGAAATCCGCGTGATGAACCAGAAATGCTACATCGGTTGTTAACTGTGGCATAAAGGGAGGTGTACGTGAAGGGTGGAAGCATAACATGAAGTAAGGCAATGAAAGTTTTAGTAATTGAGTGCATATGAAACTTGACAGGTGCGACGTAGGTATCTCTCTCACTTGATCGTTGGTTAAATGGCCATGCGAAATCCCTACGACGCGTACAAGGTTACCTTGAGGTACTGCTTTAATGATAAGTCTCCTGAGATAACTCCGATACGCACCCTTAGTTCTCCGGCTAGAAGTCCCTCTGGTCGTACGCATCCCGGGATGGCTCCTGGACGCGTTCCTCGCGTGTTTCGTACACGGGAAAGTTTGTCTCAGCCGTGGCACCGTACGATGTCTGGCGTTGGAAGGACGACTGCTGCTGCGTCGCATTGTTCGCTCCCGAGTCCTCCTTTGAAGACAAAGTGAAACGAGCAACACTCGTCATCACTAACAAATCGTTGGATAAGGGCAGCGTAGAACGCGTCTGCTGAAATGACGTCAGCTGTTCCTTTATATGCGAGAACATTGAAAAGGCAACGTAGTACGCTCAGTAATTTGTGATGGGCGATGGCCAGCGTCCCTAGTTTTACCGTATTTCACTTGCAAAGTACCAGCACTTAGTTGGTAATGCTGATGCGCCATGAATGACCGTCTAGTTCTAGCTAATCTTGTCTAATGTTTTGCAGATAATGGTTAAGCGACTGCTCATATTACCCAGTTCTGGCTTAGTATTGGCAAATGTCGCCGTAATATTACCGTATGTTGGATAAGTTATCACAAGTGTTGGTCTATATTGGCCAATGTCGGCTAATGTCAGCTACTTGGCCACGTCTGGCCCCCGTAATAACAGCATCGCATTTTAGGTGGTTTGTACAGATATGCTGCCAAACTAAACTCAAAATTACTTGAAGACGGTAATGCTGCATTCAACACTCGTTATCAGTGACTTCTGCCCAACTTTCTTTTTCTTTATTCCTGACCTGGAATTTCCATCGCTTGTTGAAATCAGCTATCTTTGGCCGGGGTCTAGGCGTCAGATGAATCCGGTGACCGTGGTAGCATTTGGCTCGTCCTTATCGCATGCATGTCACCACTGCTCTCTCCCCACCAGCTGCGCCGTAACAAAAACCTACTGTCCCTGTGCTGGCCACGCCGGCATGCGATAGCTATAGGGCCTACATTACGTGCGATTGCGGTAAATGTGAGTGCTATGAGTGAAGGTATCTGTTTACACTTCTTCCCTCCAAGTGTTGAGTGCCCTTACCTTGAAGGCGTTCTCGAGCGGATTCCACGAAGGTCCTTCGTCTTCCCGCGGAGGTTCCGCCCACGACTGTTTTTCTCCCGACGCGAAGATGGCGTAGAAGATGACGCCACCGAAGTGGATCAGGCTAGCGATCAGGAACACTTTCTCCCAGCGGGAAGCGTAGTCGCCGCCGTGTAACTGCACGTTTTCAACGAGGACGCGGCACGTTATCGAACTTCGTAGTGCAGTACGGGGAACGCCGTACACTTTAAGACAAAAAGAGAAAGTGTTGTTTGTTTTTGTTTTTTTAGAGTTCAGGCTTTCCACGTACATGGCTCTCTTTAAGGAAACACGTCACCTCTTTTTGGAGATAATCGAATCTTTCTAGAGAGTCGCGACACCCAAAAGAGAGTTAACTTGTCTTCTCAAAGAGCATCAATATCGTGGCTATAGTCACGACTGACCGTAAGAAGTCGCAAGTAGTATTTTTTTCTTGGAGTGTAGTGGTTTAACTTTAGAACGTAATCCGACCCAGGTAATACGCGTGGCCCACAATTTACGGATACCTTTCGAACACTTAGTACCCTCTAACGTACCACAGAGAACCTCCGCTTCTACTCATTTATTTTGTCTCCATACAATGGTGCCTTGAGACCAAGAATGGAACCGGAGACATCGTGCTCGGCAACAGTGCGTCGTATCCACGGAGCCACCGCTGGTATAGGAAGTGTTATTTAAGAGCCTTCAGCGAGGCACCCTATATGTATACGGTGCGCTCGCTTCGCAAGCGAGCACGCTTTCTAAACTCGATGAAAACAGCGCTTAGAAGATCAAACGGGTCCTGAAAAAAATTTTTTTTTGAGCATTGTCGGAAAACGCCGACGAACGGTAGTCGAAGCCCCCGAGAACATGTGACCAAAACATCGGAGCGCAGCGCGTGATGGGATAGATCGCTCCCTCTTATCTCTACAAATGATGACATATACCCATATTACTGCGCCGTCAGTGCCACAGCAGTTCTTTATCTGGGGGCGGGGGCGCCTTCTTGATCTCAAGTGGGGGCCGGGCTGGCAAATGATCATTTCGCGTGGTGTAGGCCATGGCGAAAAAGTATTCGGGAGGTGGGAGTGGGGGGGGGGGGACACCGGCCTGGTGTGCCACACTCTGGCTACGCCATTGACGCCATGTCACCCAAGGCCACCGCCATTAGTTGATTTTAGTATCACGAACTTCATAGCTACCATGACCGCCGCGGGATGGCGCCACGTTTCTGCCGTCACGCTCGCGATAACACTGAAAACAAACGCGTGTTTGAAGAAAAAAAAAAGAAATTAAAGTGCCCAAGGTCCTGACGCGCGCTGACTAAGGGATGCGTTTTGCCACCTTTACACCCCCCCCCCCCCCCTAACACCCACACCGCTGCGTAGATTTCAGCGCTAATACTAGTAGTATTAGCGCACTCGCTGGCTCGAAAAGAGGTAAAAAAGCACATAAATCCTGCGATTCCGCCCGTACTTCGTGATTAGAAAGAAAAAAATCAGTATGGGATTTGTGAAGCATCACATGCTAATGGCAATTTCACTTTTACTCGGAAAAGTGCTGCCGGGCCCCTTTAAGGAAACAACAGTAAACGCAAGCAAGAGGAGCTGTACACGGCGTTTATCTGCTTCTTTTGAAGCCCGATCTAGCGAATATTGAACAATATTACGCAAATTTATATTGCACACGCTTATTTTGCGCATTCACTGCGCTGATTGCGCGTAAAAGCGCTTTTTTGTGCAATCGTCAAATGCTGCGCGGTTCCCCACATACAGGAGTGCACGAATGCTGTATTACGCCTTTGACCGTGATGTCGTAATTTGGCTCTAGAAGAGAATCCGTGTTATAATAGAACACACAAGTGCATTGGGCGTTTAACAATGATGTATGCACGTGCTAGCTGGGCTACGTAAGTGGTTTCAATATGACCTATAGAATAAGGCTATACGCTGACATCATTTCGCCCCGGTTTTTAGGGACAGCGAAGGCGTTCGGAACCTTTGACCTTTCATCTTGCACAATTTCTTTACGACTCTAACGTTAGTTAATATGGCGACACTAATGCGCGTGCAATTAATGCTAATGGTAGCACAGTGGCAGTAAGAGAGCAGACTTCTCGTCAATCCAAACCGACAAAGATATAATAATAATAATAATAATAATAATAATAATAATAATAATAATAATAATAATAATAATAATAATAATAATAATAATAATAATAATAATAATAATAATATAATATAATATAATAATAATAATAATAATAATAATAATAATAATAATAATAATAATAATAATAATAATAATAATAATACATGATTACTCGCATTTTTTTCAAATTCTGTGTGGTGTGGACATATTTTTATATTGAAAAACTTTGGCTCATTGTTGTGCTATGCACCTTTGTACAGCCTGGGCTTTGTAATCTAAAGACTGTTGTACAAGAGAAGTAGCCGGCGCGACTCATTGGCACCAGCTTCTCCCTATATAGAATTGATATAAATATGTATCTGGCGTTTCACTCGCCAAAACTACAAGATATTCTTATGTACGCCGTAGTTGAGTGCTCAGGGAGTTTCGACCACCTGAATTCAGCTGGGTGGCGCGGTGTCAGCTCCGCGTACCCTCCGGGTCAGAATAAAGTTAACTCAATATCAACAACGTAATGTCATTTATCGTCAGCCGACACAGCGCGCGGGCCTCTAGCATGCGGGGGGTTCGCACATCACCGGAATCATCCTGTGAACCCCGAACCACGGGTTCCTCCCACGCCGTTCGCTCGATTTCAATTAATAATAAAGATGTTTCAAGCACAGACACAGTCTCTAGCATTCCGCCTCGACCAAAATGCGACCACCGCGGCCGGAATCAACCCGCGACATGCGACTCGGCAAGCCGAGCACTGAAGACGACCAAGGTAAACGCGGTGACTCGCAGTGTTTTAATTTCTTCCCTTCTTTCCGCAACGATAGCCGCCACTTCCGCTTGAGGTCGCTGCTACAACGAGAGGTAAGAGAATTTTGTGGAAGCCGAGGCGCAGGGCCGTCACTGAAAAAAATGGGCGGAGGGGAAGGGGCGGTAGTTGAGCTGGTTTTAGACGCCTTCGCAAATTTGTTCATACTTCAACTTTTCGGGTGATGCCAACGTATTGCACGTCTTCGCGTTGGTCACCAGTTGCCAAAGCTAGTCGTCTACATATAAGCCCTCCCAGAAAAAAAAAAAAAAGTCTTGGGTATGGCTCTGCCAAGACGTTTCTCTGTGTTGTCCTTTTGATTTGATTTGATTTGAGTAAAGGGAAAATCGATTAGGATACACTAATACTAATACAATTTATTAACCCTGTATTACGCCCAGTTCGTCCTAACTTACACCAGATCGTATTACGCGTCATCCTGAAATTTGAAGTTAAGACAGTATGGCCGAAACGTGACAATTCATATTGCACATGCGGAATCACGCGCAAAATAAATTTTTCTTCACCTGTCATCTCATCTTGCTCGTAGATTAGGACAAGAGGGAGAGCTGTGATCTGCCGTACAGTAAATAATTTCAACCCAGAAGTTAAAAAGAACTATAACCTGATATGGCTTCGTACATGGCACATAACTGCGGTTAAATGGTATGTCAGAAAAATGCGAGTTGCATATGTATGTACTCAAAAAAAAATAAATATTGGTTGTTGTTAAATATGGGTACACAAGTGCACAGAGGAAACAGAAGGCTGACAACTGTCACCTACGTTTTCGGGAGGAGGGAAAAGATGAAACGAAAGATGGGAGGAGAGAAAGAAGATAAGAAAGGAAAAAAAAAAGTATGGACACTTGGACGAAAATGAGCAAGACACACAAAAAAAAACGTCTATAAACGGGTGGCCAAACTCGTTAGATCTATATATAAGTCAGCACAGCTCGATGGAGTTTAACGTTGCAAACCACTATATGATTACGAGGTGCATCATGATGGAGGGTTCTAAATATCTCGACCACCTGGGGCTCCATAGCGTGCGCCTAAACCTAATCGAATCAGCCTCAAGGCTCAATAATTTACACTGCCATCGAAAATGCAGCCGCCGTGACCCAATCATGAAAATATATGTCATAAAAACCATTGCGAGGGGGAATATGATCACCGTGGTCGAAACAGTCGCTTATGATGTGTGATGAGTTCGTGTAATACGGACAGTTTACTTAAACCACACTTATCCTGTTCTCTAAACTCTTCTTAACTGTGCCGCTTAGCCAGTATTCAACTGTGACAGCGCACAGGTTAAAAAAAAAATAAAGGCGTACCTTTTTGTCAGTGATGTACTCTACCACGATGGGGCATAGCATGCCGGCCAATGTGCCGACGCCGTTGGACAGCCCCATCAAGATACTTGCGTACCGAGGGGCGATGTCCAGGTGGTTCACATTGAAACCTGCGAACGAAAGAAGAAATGTATCACGCAATATTGAGGTAAAAAGAAGAAAAGAAAAAGAAAACTGAGTCTGGAAGCTCAGTATGTGTGTTGGGCATGTGATTGCTAAAAGAAAAATGAAAAGAGTCAATTTCGCCCGACGCGCTGATAGTGATAACAAAAGCGCTAACCACACCCTGCACTGTAGTTTAGTCGGTTGTATGACTTGTAGTAAAGTTGCGCTTGCTTGCTAATTAAATTAGCAAGCGTGGTGTCATCGGCGCACAGGCAAACGTGAGTGGATGTTAGTAGACTTAAGTTTACATAACACTTACATAACAAAGCTGGCGGGACGAAGAGAGCCGGTTCAGCAAAGCCAGCGAATTCACGCTGCTTTTCGTTTTAAGGCGTCTGCGAAACTTAGATATGTGGGGTTTAACGTCCCAAAAACACTATATGATTATGAGAGACGCCGTAGTGGAGGGCTCCGGAAATTTCGACCACCTGGGGTTCTTTAACGTGCACCCAAATCTGAGCACATGGGCCTGCAGCATTTCCGCCTCCATTGAAAATGCAGCCGCCGCAGCCGGGATTCGATACTGCGACCTGCGGATCAGCAGCCGAGTATACTTATCCACTAGACCACCGCGAAGGGGCGCGTCAGCGAAACTTGAGATTAAACGACCTTCCAAAGGTAAAGTAGGCTACCACCTTGGAAAACAAGATATAAGCTTCGCCTACAGCCATCGCCATCCTAACCACGTAGAAATTGGATAGATGCTCATATATCAATAATTTACAGGCAGCGTCTTCAAGCACCACAAAAACAGAAGGATTGCTTTATATAAGACAGTGATCTGCTTCCGCCCAAAAGAATTGAGTGATATACCAGAATCGTTCAAGCGAGATTGGAGTGCAGTCTGCACGTGATACGTGTGTAATCTCCTTACCTGATATGGCGAAACCACTGAATCCCACGGCCAGGGTCAGCGCTGATATGGCCACGGCGGTGCTTCGGGTGTAGCCCACGACCAGGAGGAACACAGCCTCCATGCCGAAGCCTGGCAAAAGAAGAGAGAAATTCAGTGACGATTTAGCTGTATAAATGCGAGAGAAATGCGCTCGCATTATGCCTATAGTTACTTTTAATTACGTTTGACTACCTTCATAGCTAACGCCAGTTAAAGTTAACCAATGTAGTGCTGGAACGCACGTGCGCGAGTGAATACGCTATATAGGTCGGCCGCACGCAGATGGGCTACTTCGCACTTTTCTGTTCACTTTAACCCATTCCTAATGTAAATTACTTTAAGGGAAGTTACAACGCGCATACGCGCTTCGCATCGCCTAAACACACGGTATACTGCAGTAGCACGGATAATTGGGTTATAGCTGGTCTGTGCAATTTCCTCTTCTAGTGTCCGTGTCTGTGTGCGCGCCCTTATTCAGTTAAAAGATGACACGGTATACTGTTGGTGCAACACGTAAATGGTTCTTTCTGCACCAACAAGTTGCTGGCTGTAGTTACCTTTGAATTGTGTGTTATCGCTTAAGTTTAGCACTGCTAGAATCGCAGCTTATACATTGTATGTATGTATGTATGTATGTATGTATGTATGTATGTATGTATGTATGTATGTATGTATGTATGTATGTATGTATGTATGTATGTATGTATGTATGTATGTATGTATGTACGTATGTACGTATGTATGTATGTATGTATGTATGTATGTATGTATGTATGTATGTACGTACGTACGTATGCACGTATGTATGTATGTATGTATGTATGTATGTATGTATGTATGTATGTATGTATGTATGTATGTATTATATATAGAACGGAGACAGTCAAAACTGTTATCCGTTGTTATCCGGCACACACATTGTCAGTGCTAAGCACTGACAATGTGTGTGCCGAGATTGCATGACCCACTACAATCATCATTACAGTATGTATGTATGTATGTATGTATGTATGTATGTATGTATGTATGTATGTATGTATGTATGTATGTATGTATGTATGTATGTATGTATGTATGTATGTATGTATGTATGTATGTATGTATGTATGTATGTATGTATGTATGTATGTATGTATGTATGTATGTATGTATGTATGTATGTATGTATGTATGTATGCACGTATGTATGTACGTGTGTGTGTGTATTGAAGATTGTCGCAACGCATAAGCACGTGTGCATGAGCATGATTACTGTGCGTGCGGTGGCGAAAACGGGGCCGAGTGTAGGTGACAAAGCAGTGCCCACCTCCACAGTTGAAGATCTTTCTGACGACTGTCGTGCTGAGAATCTGGCGCGTCCGCAGGTAGTCGGCCAGTTGGCCTCCCAGGGGCACGACGAGGGTCATGCACAGGTGCGGCAGGGCGCCCAGGAGACCCGACTGCGCAACGGCATAAAGCAGGCCCAATGGTCAGAAATGCGGATGCTCATACTTCGCAGTGCTTAACAGGCAGCTCAAGTTCGCAACATTATGGTACTAATAACGGAAGAGGAACCAACTCGTATAACAAGCGTGTGCATGTAAGCGGACGAGTATCTAACATGCCGGATTTTCTCAAGATGTCCATGATTCGTGACAAAATGCCACAACACAGCTAGTTTAGAACAGCGTACGTTCTGTAATATACAAACATAAACCATATATAAGATACAGGTCTGCAATATACAAACAGAAACCACATACAAGATACAGGATACAGCGAAAGGTACAATATAACATACAATGGTGCGCTCCGGAAATTTCGACAACCTGGGGTTCCTTAACGTGCACCTAAACTAATTTCACGGTCTTCAAGCATTTTAGCCTCCGTCAAGAATGCGACCGCCGTGGCTGGGATTCGATCCCGTGAATTTCGTGCCAGAATTAGGGCACAATGACCACTAGACCATTGCGTCAGGTCCAGTGAATGGTACGAAACAGTCGCGATATAAATGCGTGAGTGGTGTTGTTCGGAATGACTTACTTGGCGAACGAATAAACTTAATAAAAATTAAGTCATACTTGCTTAATGAGTGCACACACTGAGGTAAGATTGCTGTAGTCCGCTTGAGGTAGCTGAGACAGCTTTTAAGGAATATCTTTCGAAACAGGTCTCTCCTGAGACAGCTTTCAGAAATGAGCTGCTTAGAGAGCACACTCACGCGAAGTGTTTCCTTAAAAGCGTGCAGTTTATTTCAATGATGTCAAGACTTCTTCCAATACATTTTATCGTGCACAACGTATGATGTCTGTCACCCAAGTGCATTTCATAAACGCGAGAGCTCTTCCGCGTTCCTTGAGGAGAGCGTGATGGAACGCAAGCATAACAATGCGACACAAAGCCATGGAAACTTGACCTCTGAAATTCGCCTGACAGTCATATACTTCGTCAGGCACTGCTGGCTACATCGTTCGGCTGAGAAGCAAATGGTCGTCGGTTCAATCCTTACGCGCAGCAGTCACATTCCGGCAAGGACGGGATGCGATAATGTTCACATGAAAACTTTCCGGAAGCGCTTCATTACATTGTGCCACATGGTGGTGCTCTGGAACTGCAAATTAGGACAATAGGCAGAGTGAAGTAACGAACAAACGAACGAACGAACGAACGAACAAACGAACGAACGAACGAACGAACGAACGAACGAATGAATGAATGAACGCTTACCTTGTCTACTTCGAATTTGAAGACCTGTCCGAAGTACATGGGCTGCGATATTATTAGCAGGTAGAAAGTCCAGCTGCGGCAGAAGTTAGCCACGATGATGGCATACACCGGCAGCGATGTGAAGATGTTCTTCCACGGAGTCGTCTTCAACTGCACGCAAAAAACAAAACAAAGCGCTGCATCATCAACAGCAACAACAATGACAACAAACACATATACATCATCATCATTCCATGACAGAAATGTGCCTCAGAAGTTTTGCTTGACACGGCATAAAACACTTCCGTGCTGAAAAAAAAAATCACAGCATAATGATGATGAGCGGGCGCAGCTCCTGAGGGGAATCATCGGTAAAACCGCGACTCTTCAGTGAAAGTTCGCCCACTATATCATAAAGAAAGACGTAAGAAACACTGTGTGTGTATATGTACGGCAGGGTCATAGCGCCGTTGCCGTGACGCTTGGGCCTCTCGTTCTCGAACGCTGGGATCTTGGCGGCGGCGTCACGCAGCTTCACGGAGCGCTTCTGCCTCGCGGGCTCGCACGTCGGGATTCTGTCTGCGAGCACGCGCTGCCGCCGCTCTGCGGCCTTATCCATCGGGCAACTCCGAGCGCGCGCCAACAGCGAACGGATTTTATTACAACGCTCCCCGCCATCTAGTAAACAACCGAAGAACTAAACTAAAGGTAGCCACGCCATCTAGTAAACAATGCAAGAACTAAACTAGAGTTGGCTATATACACACGCCGAGGATGGACAAACCGACGCCTTAAGAAGCTTCGCCCCTAAAAAACAGGAGTGAAGCGGGTACTACTATAAAGCAGATAAAATCCTTGAGACCAAAACGAGAGTAGAGTGGGTGCTTGGAACCAAGCCATAGCAATATAAATTTATCAGTTGACTACAAGGGTGCGGAAAGTGTGCTGAGGAGGCTTTGGGTCCATGTGGCTCTTTACACCGCCTGGGATATCAACGTCCAACTGGCCAAATTTACCACTTGGTGCAAGGTGTTTATATTGATTTGTTCCACTGTCACTGGATGAAGATACGCACCACCTAACAGCTGGCCTTCAGCATGGCATCTTTGGGGGTGCAGACACCCCCTGTAAAGTTGTTTGCGCTGCGTGGCGCACGTCTCTCACCCAAAAGCCGCATTTCTGGTTACAACTACCGGGCGGTAGGTGGCGTTGTGTTCACGAGCGGTGATCAGCACTATCACCATCATGATTGGTAGAGTGGTAGCGCCGGCGGTGACTCCTGGCGGAAGGCAAGACTTGGTGGCGGGCGAGAGTTGAGGGAGTCTCTTCTGCGCGTGGCGGTTGCCGCGAACGGTTGTCTTTAGCGTGGGTCCCCGGTGCGTGGCACCCCGGGTTGCGCGTCGGGGGCCCTAGTGGTAAGTTAAGCGTTGGCGACGCCGCCTTGAGTGTGTTATTGTGTTTGTAATGGAATGTATGAAAATATTGGTTACGGAAGTCCTAGCTAGTGATAAAGATTGATGTATCGATTCGGCGGATGTTATCTTCGTTCTGAATTTAGTGAAATGAATGTATGTCGTTGTTTGCTTTGTACCGACCGCATCTGCTGTGTTCGTTCAGTCCAAGAGCGTGGCGTGGCGCTCGCGAATTTGAGATACCAAACGGCTTCCGGTACATTGTCACGATGTATCTATGCAATGTATTCAGAGTACTTACGGTTGTCCAATACATACAGATGCCACAAAACACTGCTTTAATTCATACACAACAGGGGCCTTACAGCAATATAGATAGATATAAAGATAGATGACTGACACACACACACACACACACACACACACACACACACACACACACACACACACACACATATATATATATATATATATATATATATATATATATATATATATATATATATATATATATAGAGAGAGAGAGAGAGAGAGAGAGAGATAGATAGATAAATATCGTCAAGCCTCCTCTTGTTTGCAAACAAATACTTGGTTTTAAATATGCATTTCATTGTATAAATTATGCACTGCCTCCGTGAGTATTGAATAGCTGAGCGCTACGTGAGATAGAGCAACACACGTTTACGCAGCGCCACGCAGACAGCATTACGGCATGTGAATGCAACGTAATCTATTGACGCTGCGCTAGTTCAGTCGCTGCTCAAGTTTTAAGGAGCATAACGTATATTTATCGTCGCTCGGGCTCATCGTCTTAGCGCGCCTGTTGCGATGAAAAATTAACGACGAAATTAACCTCAATGTTTAAATTTTTTTTGTCGTTGCCCAAGACGCCCGACGCGCGCGCGCACCACACGAGCAGAAAGAATCGTGCACAGCGAAGAAAACGGAACACAGCAAAAGCTTCCTTGGCTGGTTTAACATCGTGCTTCGCCAGACGACACGTTATCCTCCTGGCACCCCTTACTCTCTCTCCCCTCTCTAAAATTTTAATACATTTCCATAACCTTTTAGCCGAAGGGCCGGCGCGTTGGGCGCGGCAAAAATGGAGCGACCCTCTTTCCACATCCATTAAGGGGCCGCAGGCTGATCAAGCTTTTCCCCTCGCTTTGGTGCAAGTGTTGCTCTTTCGTTTATCTTTCTTCTTTTTTTTCTCATGTCAAGAACATAGTAGGGTGAAATGAGGAGGAGGAAAGAAAGCACTCTCTTTTGCACTTCTCGCCGTCACTCGCTTCCCATTCATACCCGCCCCATCCTTTGTGCTTGCGGGGCATAACGGCGCACAATGGCCTTAAGGTTCGTAATTTATGTAGTATAAAAAAATGAAAATCCACAAAGGAACGCGGGGAATGGGCGACTGAATGGAGGGCAACCCACCACATCGCGACGTGGCGACAAACGCACCCATCCTTCTCCGCTTCGTCTCTTTGTTTGTGTCGCTTAAATTATGGTCCTCTTTTCGACAGGACACTCGTGTTTTGTTTCGCGAACGTCAATGGTAAGGGAGAGTGGTCCCAACGAAAAGCTTTACAATTTCAAAGACGTACGCGGCTAGGACAGGCAAAAAGCGTAGAAGCGAGAACTAGCATTGGTAGTGGCATCTCGTGACACTGCGGCCTGGATTAGCGTCTGGATACTTCTTGGGGATGCTTGAGTAAACTTTCTTTTCTCACTGTCCTCGAAGGATCCGAGCTACAGTGAACTAGAGTTTTTAGGGGCGAAGCTCCTTATAGCGGCACCCGTTCGTCCCTCGATGTCGTAGTAGTAGTCGTAGTGTGTAACCAGTTTTACATTTTGACCTTCAAGGTGGTGCCGGTGAGAGATTTCTTCTGTGCGTTGCCAGGCAATAAAAATAATGCTCAATGCACATGTCGATGGCTGCTAATGGGGAATTAGAGACAGGAGAATTCGGCTTTTAGTTAACGCGCACGCTGCGAATTTTTTATTGTTCAACAACGCACAGAAGACAAGAAAGGGTTGCTACGTTATACTCGCTGGGAGTAACCTCCTAGGTTTTAGGAAAGTTTAGCGAGCATTGGGCCGCAGTGCCATGAATACAGTGAACTAATATATACCATGAGGTCGAAGTGGTTAAAGGTGGGAAGTAGACACGAAGCGCAAGCCGTAAGAAAGTGTGCATGTGCCACCTCTCATTCAGTCCTTGGAATGTCTGCTGAATGGCGGTGCTTCTATGTAAGGAATATATGATGAAAAGATGCGAGATGATGGTACTTGGAGTTTTGAATAGGTGGACGAACAGACACACATACAGATGCATGGACGGACGCACGGATGGACGCATGGACGGACGCAGGAGCGGATGCATGTACGAAAGCAGGGACGGACGCACAGACGAACGTGCAGATGCACGAACAGACGCACGCACGGACGGGCGGCCGCACAGACGCATGCATGGACGGACGGATGCTTCGCCCCACTATCCATCATTCACTACGTGGATATGCTGCCATTTTTTTGAATTGCAAAGCTTCTGGTCACTTAACTGTTTAAATAAAGACAGCTTGCTAGATCCTGATAACGTATTTCTACCAGTCGCCCATACTGCTATGGGAGGACAAAGATACGCAAAAACAGCTGAAAGCATGCACACTCAGTTTCTGACGGCGTATGGAGCCGAATGCAACAGACATACTAAACAAACGCTGTACTGAAAAGCCCCTGTATTTTCTCTGGGTTGGGTGTTTACATTATTCTCCTTAACTAATGAACTGTACGAGCCATCGTACCCTGTATACCTTGTGATAATGACCTTTGAAATTTTTTCACATCCTTTAATTGAATGTCTTGTAAGCAAGATATATGCTTGTATCAGTGCTCTGGAATTTATAGTTTCTAAGAATAAGAATTATCAGTACGAAGATGCCATGTCGAGGTGAACTTGGTCATATATATATATATATATATATATATATATATATATATATATATATATATATATATATATATATATATATATATATATATATATATATATATATATATATATAAAATCACAGCATATCTACGCAGTGAATGATGATGGGTGGGGCGAAGTGTCCGCCTGCCCTTCTGTTTGTCTGTCCGTCTATCTATCTATCTATCTATCTATCTATCTATCTATCTATCTATCTATCTATCTATCTATCTATCTATCTATCTATCTATCTATCTATCTATCTATCTATCTATCTATCTATCTATCTATCTATCTATCTATCTATCTATCTATCTATCTATCGATTGATAATTTATTGATCCGTTGATTCCCCCGCACGCTTTCTCCTAAAAGTTTGTGCCAGCCAGTGTCTATAACGGAGCATCTGCCCCTCCAGTATACTACGAAGCACCGTGGCGCTCCAGTACGCCAGAGCGCGCGATACATCCGCGCCAGCGCGCAACAACCGGGCCAAAGAGAGGGAGGGCAAGGGCGACTTTTCTTTCCCGCGTCAGGAGCCTGCGGCGGCTTCGGCAGTCGAAAGGAAGCACGGGTGATGGGGAAGCGGGCGAGCAGCCAGCCGTCCGGATAGCAGTCGCGGCGCGGCGGCGGCATAAAAGCTCTTCGCAAATGGAGTCGTCACGTGGACCCATTTGGCGACGCCGCCGCGACCAGAGCGGGCCCGGCGAAGGGGAGAAAGAAGCCGTATTTCTCCCCGCTCCTCGTCTCCGGGTTGCGATGCGTCCGCTGCTGCCTTCTTGCTGCCC